TCCACAAAGTCCATGGTGTTCTGTATGTGGTGTTCTGAGCTGCCAACTAAAGGGATGAGTACAGACGCCAGATATTTGGAAACATTGTAAGTGACAGAGTTAATCATGCTAACAATAGGTCTTAAAGGTACACCTTGTTTGTGGATTTTAGGTAAACCATACAGACTAGGTGTGGCCTCCCCTGGGTACAGTCTGTGGTACAGAAAACGGTCAATAGCCTTGTCCTGCTCCAAATTTTTCAGGCAATCTTTTAACTTCTTCTTGTAACCACTTCCTGGATCTCTTTTCAGAGGTTCATAAGTGGTTAAGTCACTAAGGAGTGTCATAACTTTCTCATGATAGTCTTTCTGGTTCAAAATCACTGTGCACCTTCTTTTGTCTGCTGGGAGAATGAAGATGTTTTTGTCCTTGCTAAGAGTGGTGAGTGCATCCCTCTCCTCTCTACTGATGTTGGAAGGTGGTGCATTGCTGAGGCAGGCTGAAACTTTGATTCTGAGCTGTTCTGCTTCAGCCTCTTTCATTTTGTTGTTGCGGATGGCTGATTCTGTGGCTGTGATCATCTCCACCAGAGGAATTCTACTTGGTGCAACCGCAAAGTTCGGCCCTTCTTGAGCATGTGATCAGCTGGTTCTGGTTGTCAGCAGCAAAACTGCTTGATCCACTCTGAGAAGGTGCTATTTAAGAGACTGAGCTGTATACAGCACCTCAGACTGAGGAAGTCTCTTGGATGAGAGACGAAACGTTTCTATATTTTTTTGCTTTGTTTTGTTTTTTGTTTTTTTGAATGTCCAAAGGACCAGATTGAACTTTTTTGGATTTTTCTACCTGGATTATTGAGCATGCATCAGGATATTAGATCTGTTGTATGCTAATATCAAGGACGCATACTCTGTCTCACCCCTCCCTTCCTTGGGTAAATCTGATCATAACCTTGTTCATTTGCAACCCATATATACTACTCTGGTGAAGAGGCAAACTGTAACTACAAGGCAGGTCAGAAGGAGGTCCCCTGAAGTAGAGCATGAACTAAGGAATTGTTTTGCCACTACTGACTGGAATTTATTGGTTAACCCGAATGGGGATGACCTGGAGGGGGCGGTGGGGTGCATGACAGACTATTTGAACTTTTGTATGGACCAGGTGGTACCTGTTAAAACAGTGAAGTGCTTTGCCAACAAAAAACCGTGGATCACTGCTGGAGTGAAGGAAGTTCTTAATAATAAGAAAAGGGCATTTAGGAACAAAGATTGGGTGATGCTGAGGGTGTCACGGTCGGGCGGTGGTTGAGACCCAAATGCAAGCAGGACTCCAACAAGGTTACAAAAAAAGGCGTCTTAATCACAAAAAGGCAACAATAACAAATAATGCTGTCGGGGCAGCG